AATCACTCCTTTTAGATGATCAATCAAGCTAGGGTGCCAGAATTTTTTTGACACCCTAGTTGACATACACACACAATAGGGGTGGGTGGGGGGCATGTTTTTGCATTTTTTATTCATGTGGGGTCAGCACGAGTCCCACTCGAATGTGAGAGTAGGTCAACCAGGTGGGCAAATTTCATCTGGCAAAGGAGCTTAATTCTTTAGATGATATACGTACAGCCTGTGAAATTCACAGGCCACTCACATGCACAGTGGGGTGGTTTTTTTTTTTTTCTATTTTTTATTCATGGGTGTGGCCACCCCATGAGAAAAGTCAGGTAATTGCCTGTGAAATTTTCCCATTACGTGGGGATTAACTCCTCATTTTATTATCCTGACATGGTCAAATTAGAGAAACAAAGAAGATATTTTGGACCGACCACACCTGCTTTGGGTTTGTCCTAAATAAAATAGTTATAAAATAATCCAAAAAAGATGATAAAATCAGAGTAATATAATAATTTACTTCTAGTAGTTAATGGGTTAATTAATAAAGCCTTTAGTAAAACTCCAATTTTACAACACCTTTTTTATATTCCAATAATACCTCTCGTGTGTAGTAAACTAAATCATTTTTTATCGAATTTTAAAAATGATATACGAAGTATTATTTAGCCCATGTTTACTATTCTCTCGCCAATTTCTAAGCAAATCGAGATCTTTTCTTCTTCATTAGGACTCTCCAAATAAAAAATAAATCAATATGACGTTCTTTTAAAGAGTAACTCAATTTAATACAGTACCCTAAAATCACATCCAAAAGTCAACGTAGACGAAAAACACCTATTTGGAGCGCCTACATTCTTCCACTATATGAGAGAGAACCCTAACTCGAGCTCGTACCTTCTTCCACTATCTTATAATCTCTCCACGAAGTTGCAACCACGACCATAGAATGCATATGCCTAAAAAGAGCACCTCTCATGTAGTCTAATTAACTATTTTTAGATGGGAAACACCACATTTTATCTTTCCATTCAGATCGATCTCTCCACAATACCGTACATTAGAGTCACACAATCATTGATGAATATGAACCGTTGGTCAATAAGAAAGGATAATCCGTTCCATCAAGAAAGTGGGCATGTTTCTAGAAAAAAAAGATAATACATAAGTCAGAAGATCTCGCGTATAGTGAACCAAGTCCAAAATACCAGTCATGATCACATGTAAATCTCTTGGGCCTTGAGTTAATGTTAAGCTAATGTCCAACTAATTTTATTAAAATAAAAACCCAATCCATATGCACAATATAAAATTCTAATTTATAAAAGGTAGTGGAATCAGGTTCAAGAAGTTGAGGTTTGATGCCTGGTGTGTAGAAGAGAGTAGTTATTTGCTTACTAGAAAGCTGAAAAACCGGTGGTTGGCTCCTTCTCCGCTAGTGGAAAAGGGGTTCAGGGATGTTTAAATTGGAATATTTTGGGGGTGGTAGGATGCTAACTTGGTTATTAGTACAAAACGTTTCTATGTTTCAATTTTTTGAATTTTCATTATCATTTTCATATTTCATTATGGAAATCGTCTTTTTCATCCATTTTCTCAATAAAATAACAATTATACTCTTCTATTTAAATAAAATAAAAAGAAAAGAAAAATAAAGAATAAATTACAACTATAATACCAAAATTTTCAATAAAATACAAATAAATCCCAAATAAATAATTTAAAAAATAAAAATAAAAAATTATCCCGTTTCCCTTCAACCGCCACTTTCACTCACCGGAAACACTATCTAACTGCCACCTTAGCCACCGGAAACCACCACGACCACCACAATATAGCCCTTCATCCCGTCGTCACCAAATCGTCACCGCCACGGCCAAACAAGATATGGGAAGCTGATAGGAACATATAGTGATGTTGCATTTTATGGCATAAGGCCATTTAATTCCTTTTCTGGGCTTAGCTAAGCAAATCCAACAAAGATTTGGCTTCACCATAACAATTACCAGCACCCCTTTAAATGTTCACTATCTCAGATCTACCATTGCCAAGGACTCAACAGCTTCAACTGAAACTACACATACATTTGGTGGAGCTTCCTTTTAACAGCACTAATCATGGCCTA